CTTCAGCTAAATTTTGTAAATGATCTTGGAAGCTTTTTCCTAAAACCAATACATCGTCCAGAAAAGCCAGAACTATTTTCCAGTTTAACCCTCTAAGAACTAAATTCATTACTCTTGAGAAGGTACTTGGCGCATTTGTTAACCCAAAACTCATGCGTTTAAACTGAATTAATCCATATTTGGTAGTGAATGCTGTTTTGCATTTGTCATCATCTTTTACCTTAATTTGCCAATAGCCCCTAGTGGCATCCAGTTTTGAAAACCACATGTTGCCTGTTAAGGTATCAATGCATTCTTCAATGAGAGGCAGAGGAAAGACATCTTTTTTTGTCACTTTGTTTAGTGCCCTGTAATCCACACACCATCTCACACTACCATCTCTTTTTCGCACCAGCACAGGAGAAGACGCCCATTCTGACACAGACGGTTCTATTACATCAGCTTTCAGCATCTTCTCTAGATGTTTCTCTTCTTCTCCTTCAAAGGAAGTAGGTGTCCTTCGGAACTTCTGTTTAATTGGGTTTGCATCCCCTGTATCAAAAGCATGTTCAATAGCTGTAAAATTGCCTAAGTCAAATTCGTGAGCAGAAAAAACATCAGCAAACTGTATCAATAATTTTTTTCAATTCACGTTGCTGCACTTCATTCAACTCTGAACAGGAACTTTGATACATGCCTTCTAGGTATTCCGGGAGTTCTTTATTTTCTGTAGTTTTTATCTGTGCTGTTTGAAAGGTATCTTTCTGGTCACTCACTCCAACTGAAAATATCTCATCTATCTCATAAACCATACCAACCTTCTGATTCCTAAACAGCGTTATTTTACTATCAGACAAGTTGACAAATGACATCATAGGAACACTTGCACCCACGATACATACACGAATTTGTGCTTAAATCCTAACCAATTATCTTTTCCATCATACTTCAGTCCCTTATCATCTATCTGACGATTCTGTCCTCCTCTGTTTCTCTGGGGTGCTATTGGAGCAGGTTGGTTTACCGCCAGTTGTTGACCTTGATTGATAGGTTGTTTATTATTTATTTGAGGTTGCGTTTGCAATAACTGATTACCTGTTTGAGGCTGCTGATTATTTTCTTGAGTCTGTTGCACCATATTACCACAGTGTTGTTGCCCTTGATTACCCGGATTCTGTTGTACCATGATCCCAAGGTTTGGTTGCATTTGATTACCTGGATTTTGTTGTACCATGTTCCAAAGGTTTGGTTGCATTTGATTACCTGGATTTTGTTGCCATGGGTAACCATAACCTTGAAACTGACTTACTTGTGGAATGCTTGGTGGGGGCACCGAAAACGGCATCCCACTAAATGGCATCCATTGGTTAGCATATACTTGTGACACTGGAGGTATAGGAGAATACTGCTGGTTCATTGCCTGATATGGTACATTAGGGTATTGAGATGGAAACATACCTTGAGGACTGTGTGGAGTTGCCATGGGTACGGTATACTGATATGGCATAATCCTACCTTGACTGGATTGAATCAATGTTGGTTGACCCGACCATAAAGATCCTTGAACAGGGTGACTTGGAATAGGCTGACCCTGCATGTACATGTGACCTTGCATGTTCTTGTCTGCATATGTATTCTGCATAGGTTGACCTAATAAAGGTTGACCTTGTGCTGAGGGGGTGGACATTGTTTGGGTACTGATAGGTTGACCATGTAAAGGTTGACCTTGCACTGAGTGGGTCGACATTGGTTGTGCAAATATAGGTTGACCAGGTGTCATTTGAGTTGACATTGGTTGACACGACATAGTTTGACTGTATATTGATTGACCTTGCATAGGCTGCTGTGACATAGACAAGCCTTGCATACCTTGATCTGGGATAGGCTGACCTATTTGAGTTGACATTGGTTGACATGACATAGTTTGACTATATATTAATTGACCTTGCATAGGCCGCTGTGACATAGACAAGCCTTGCGTACCTTGAGCTGGAATAGGCTGACCTCTTGGAGAATGGATGTAGAAGGAACCTATCCAGAATTTTTGAAAGAAAGAGGGGTTTGTAACATCATTACTCTTTCTTCATTAGTTTTTAGGAGTATTTTTGACCTTATTAAATGACATTTTAACACGATTTTGGCAAATTTGCAGCAGAAAATCCGTGCCAAATTCTTTCAGTCATTTTTCTAATTTTCAAGTATATTTACGCACAATTCAGAAATGGTCAATATCCCGAGTACCCAAACTCCGTCACCATAAGCAGCCCACTTTTCTATTCAAATTATATTTAAAAATTTTTTATTGTTTGCTACACAGAGTAATAAACATAAAAGTTGTTTCAGCAATATTTATAAAAAGATGCAGTTAATACATTGGCGTGATACACGTTCTATTTAGAGGTGCCGACAGGCACTTGTTTCGGCAATAAATTTTTAACCTATAGTATTATAATAATAACACAAATATGGGTTAAAATTTTATTTCCGAAACAAGTGCCTGTGGAGGTGCCACATAAAACTACAGTGTCATTCGTTCCAATATACCAAACTCCGTCACCGGGCTCCTCTACAATATGCCAACGTAATAAAGACAATTTTTCCAAAGTTTAATTTTTTTCATACATTTTTCCTTAAATTTTGAAATATAAAAAAATAGTTTTAACTGTAATTTTATAAAGGCATCACCTATTACACAGATAAAGTCAATATCACGTATTTTAAATGTACACTGTAATAATGTCGAGCTAACGTTATCTCAATATATAGTGTAATTGTACAGAAAAAAATAAAATATTTTAGCCTTATTCATCACGGCATGTCATTTTAAACCTGACTGACGGGTAAAAATGAGCATGTCCATGCACCTGTCATAGAAATCGATGGAATTGTGCTTAAGGGAATTCACATAGAATTTTATATACCTAAGGTAAATTAAATTTAATCTGTTTTACGCATTGAAATGTTAAAATTCTTTCGTTTGAAACATACTTTGACAGTTATATTGCAAGGATGGAAAAATTCTACCAACATTCTATCAGCGTGACGATACTCTTGAATTGTTTGAGGCTATTCGAAATTACGTCACCAAGTATGTCCATCTCTACTACGGTGCGTATTCCTTTATCTGGTTTTAAAAATAAATTTTTAGGATAATATTTAGATCAAACAAAAGACAAAACAATTGACTGAGATTCGAAGTTAAGAAACAGAAACATAGTCGTAGATATCACACTTTTTTATTTGTAACTTAATTTTGAGTCATATGTATTCTTTTAATTGTAATGTTAGCTTTCTTTTATACAACAGATACACCTGATGAAATTAACAACGATGCTGAAATTCAAAACTTTGGACGTGAATTAACAATGCCAAAGTGTGAAGAATGTTGCGGAATTTTGGTAACAATGCTATTGTTTTCAATCAGATTTAGCTATTATTATGAAAAAGGTTTCTCAAATGTGAAATATAATATATTTGATAACATTGCACATCTTTGGGATAATCGTGTTATACATGTATGGTGTCTGCGAAAATTGACCTCTCCTTATTATCTGAAAAAAAAACCCAACAACATCAGATTGCTGGCATGGCGCTGTGTATCGTGTGCACATTTTCCGGTTCTTCTCTATAAAGACCATAAAAATCAACTAAATAGAGAAATTCATGGCCTCATTTCAGGGTTTCTATTGTACGGTTTAGTGTGACATTGCTAAAATAAAACATTGGACATGTATTTCTTTCTGCAATCATTTTTGCATCAGGGTCTGATTAGTGAACAAACTAAGTAAATGATAAGTAATGATTCCTCTACCAAAACTGTGAAATTCAGGGCCCAATGGGTTAAAATAGAAAGGAGGGTTATTCTATATATTATAGATGTATTAAACATGTGCAATGTAAAATTTAATATATTATTTTGAATCCTCTCTGCAACTGCTTATTAGCAGTCAATATTTACATGGTAACGATGAGCATGGTGACCCCACCAAAAGTTTTTAATGCATGGCTAAGCCTCGGGGGATCTCGTGGGTGAGACTCTTCTGACTATATAGGAAGACCGTATTCTAATCTTTAGTAAATGCTTTCTCTGTTCCTGGGTACATGTAAAATGTACTTGACAGGCAAAATATGTACAACTATTATAAAAAGTTAGAGGGTGTTTTCTATCAGACTTGTAAACTTCATATTCACGGGTACTGAGTTCACTCAAGTGACCTATTGTTATCTGTTTTTGTCTGTCATCGTCTGTCGTGCGCTAATACTTAAACATTTTCAGCTTCTACTCTGCAACCACTCAACCAATTTTGGTAAAAACCATCTATATACGTCAAGGGGAACAAAAATCGTGAAATTCAAGGTCCTTGCACCCCTTGGGCCTGAGGGGTAATGCAAAAACCACTTAAATCAATGCAATTTTCTTCTCTACTCCTGGACATTAAATAAGTCAAACTGTTAGCATGTTTGTAATCAGCATTGAGTCCTCTTCTAAAATTGTGAAATCTATAGGTAGGGGTTCTAGTACTAGGGCGGGGCTTTATAGGTTATTTAGTGAAATGCATAAGTTCTTTGAAAATCGCCTTCTTTGCTCAGGCTTTTTAAATAAACTAACCAAGTACGTTGTTATGCCTCATGAATTTCATGGTCCCAGGATCAAGGGCTCTAGTGTTAAGGCGGTGCTCTTTTGGTTATATAGTTAATGTGCATGAATTCTTTGAAAATCTTCTCTGCTCCTGGATATTAAATAAACTATAACCAGGTTTATATAATGAGCAAGAATGCCTCTTCCAAATTTGTGAATTCCATGGCCCCTTGATCCGGGTTATGGTGTTAGCTCTATTGATTATATAGTGAAAATACATTATTTAAAATTCCTCTCCTCTCTGCTCCTGTGTATGGAATAAGCTAACCAAGTAGACGGTTACTTTGAATAAGGATGCCTCTGCCAAAATTGTGAACTTCATGACCCCAGGGCTAGTGGTTCTAGTGTTATATTATATTATAAGTAATATATGTCTATTGATATAAATTCTTGAAAAATCTTCGTCTTTGCTCCTGGCCCCAGGGTCGCGAAACATCTTATGCTTAAGTCAAAATATTCATGTTTTACTAAAATTAGTAAAACGTTACTTAAGTCTAAGACTGTTTCGTGATCCTGGTACATTGATATTAAACGAAATCACTATGTATAAAGTTATGATGAGAAAGGATGCCTTTTCCAAATTTGTGAATGTCAAGGGTTCTGGTGTTAGGTGTATATATGATTATATTGTGAAAATGCATGAAATTTTTGATTTTTTCCCTTTGCTCATGGGTATTATGCTAATGATCTTGGTACATATTTATGATGAAGAAAGGTACCTCTTTCACCTCGTAATTTCAAGGCCCCTGGGTTAGGGGTATGGGGGTATATTGTCTTAAAATAAATCAATGCTTTGAAATATGCTCTTTGGTATTAATCAACCATAAATGATGAAATCAAATTTATATCAAAATTTCCAAAATTTCGAAATACGTGACTTCGGGTTCAATGGTTCCTGTGGAGTTCGGTGCACAACTGGTTATAAAGTGGAAATGCATTTTCTCTTTGTTATACTCGTCTACCTCTGGGTTTTATTTGACCAAAGTAAGCATGCTTAGTGTATAGTTTGATAAGCAACGGTGCCTCTTTCAAAATTGTGAATTCCATGGCCTCTGAATTAAAGCACGAACCAGATTTAATTGCTGTGAAGTTGTTACATGAAATTCAGTCGACAAATTAGGTTCGTGGGCCTCTTGTTAAATTTAATTGTTGAAGTTATTTTCCTATGATTACCCAGCTATGATGAAAAAATGATTCGGGGTTACCTTAAAATCCTTTAGGTACCCAGTTTCAATTTCTTTCAATGAAACAAACCCTAGTTTTCTTTATATATATTAGGGCGTTCCATTCAAAGACGGGAAGTTCAGTTCAGCAGAGGACTTGATACTTGTGTTCACTTCCGTTATTTACAACAGTAGTGTAGTACATGCTGCCGTCAACTTTCCACAGTACGATACCTATGGATTTCTCCCGAACTATCCAACAAAATTGAATGGAATACCCCCAAAGGATAAGGTACTGACCAATGTATTTACAAATAAACATGAAGTAACAAAACTACCATAATAAAAAGTGAGATATATGCATTTCCGAGAATTTTGGACTAATTCGAGTGCGCGTGACTTTGCTAATATTTTTGATTCCATGCAGTCGCATAAGATAAGATAATATTTAATTAAGGTCGGATACATCAACAAATAACATTAGCTCTGAAGAGCTATTTTCTAATATTATACTTTCATGCAAATTAGTTGAATCTGATTGGTCTAGAAACACTTGTTAAAAAACACTATTAACCGCTGAATAATGAAGCCACGCCCTCCAGCGTAGCAACAGCTTGACGACGGGTGGTATTCCAAAAAATAGCGACTGCGCAGAAATAATGCGCACATGGTTCACTGTTATATGTATTTGTATAAAACATTCATTATAATATAATAAATATAGCATGTAGTTGAGTGTAACATTGAAAATTCACCCCTCGAAAACCATTGTTAACCTCGGCTGCGCCTCGGTTGACAATGATTTTCTTGGGGTGCAAATTTTCAATGGTACACTCAACTACATGCAATATTTATATATTATGACCTTCTGTCATGTTCTAAATTTTGATTTACCGGGTGGGAGTAAATACACAAAATTTAGTACTCCCACCCGATAAATTCAAAATTTAGAACATATATATGACACCTTTAACTTCATTAATATCCTTACAAACACAGATACATAACGGGTTCCTGTCAATGTTTTACCTACTGTAGGTTCTTTCTTTACTCCTCACTATGATATTAACAGAATTGAAGGAGAGACTTTAAGAGTATTGTGCAACAATATACTTGAGAAGTGGTGTAAATCAGATGTGGATACGTAAAAATTCGAAGGAACTTGTGGAACATTTGAAATCACAACATTTGATCAAAATCAACAACAAACACCGCTTTTCAACTTGCTATACAACAATTAAAGTCCAGGCATTTATAGCTGCTTTATTTTGCAATGAAAATCGAACCCGCACATTTACTTACCATGTCATTGGTCATTTGCAAAATTATTTTGTTAAAAAATAATCTAATTGTATATACAAGTAGTATGAAGTTGATATCAAGAAGATGCTTGAGTTTCTGATTGACAATATCTATGTGTTTTTGGAGGTCACGTCTTCCAACAATCTTTTGGAATTCTCATCGGTACCAATTAAGCCCCGTTATTTTTGTATTCATTAGAAGTAGAATTTGCTCAAATCCTTATACGTGAAAAGAAAATAAAACACTTCCTGTGGCTGCAACTCCACATTTAGATATATTGACGACGTATTGTCATTTAACAATGGTTATTTCCATTCTCAAATCGATGCGATATATCCTGGTGAGCTTGAGATCAAAGATACCACAGAGTCTGACACATCTGTTTCACATATATACGTGTATTTTTAAATTTATATTTAGATATTCTCCTTGAGGAAGAAGGTAAATTAATCATGGTCATCTAACAACCAATCTATATGACAAACAAGATGACTAACTTTTCAATCGTCTTGTTCCCTTTCCTTAGTATATACAGCAATATACCTTCATCACCTGCATTCGCATTCAAGTCTCTCTCAGTTGATTTGATAAGACACAAAGCTATCGCCATTTTTTTCACATGTACATTTTATAATGATATTTGACCCCACGTCCTTGATTTTTGTGTAGGTGTAGCTTAACATTTTTGAAGTCTTTCTTATATAACTTTTAAATTCTACAACTGTATATGTTTAGTTTTTCTAAATGATGCACAAGACAGGACACACAAACAAGACAATATTCCACATAGGCGTCGAAACCGGGGGGGGGGGGCTTATTCCCCTCCCCACTTCCTTTAGCAAAGTTAGACATAACACAGGCAATGAAAATTTGGTCGTACGTACGTTAACCCCCTCTACTTTACACAGACACGTTGCAGTTTAGGTCAATAAAGGGGTAACGGGTAGTGTTTGGAAAAGAATTGATACTGAAAGAAGTTCGACCCACCCCACACCTTATCGCACTCCCTTAATTCAGACGCCAATGTTTCATAATAATCACATCCCAACAACGACGACGTCGAAAGCGCAGAAACACGAATCTTTGAATTTGTTTGTTTATATTTTATTTATTTATTCGGCAGGGTTACTAAAATTTGATCTATTTGATTTTTTTGATCTAGAGGCCATTGCAGGAAGAGGAAGTAGTGAAGGCTCTTGTTGACAGGTCTTCCACTCTGGAGACTATGATTATCGGGAAGATCCTGAGTGAACGAAGTACTAACGCTCTCGGGGACTTTGAAGTAAACTATATTTATGACCCGCCAGCAGTAGCGATTGTGGAAGAGTAAGGCATCTTAATGTTACGTTTATGTCCATTTTTTTCTAAAGAAACCGTAAGTCTGTTACGCTTTCTTTTTCCTGTTTTATTCTCACACAATTTAGGCATAGTAAGCTAATTCTCTACAAAACATCCTGTTTATTGAAAGTCCTTGTAGTCACATTGTCCATGATGTTTGTAGATGGAATTTTTGTTATTTTCACCCTAGGTGTAAATTTGGGTCGATAAACAGTTTTTTTATACAGATATTGGTCCCTAGAATCCCTCATATATTTTACAACTACATGAAATCCGTAGACATGTTACCTGTAACTTGCTGTCATGAGATCAGAGTTCTAGTAATCTAAGGAAATTATTTTTTGGTTTCATGTTATGATCAGTCGATTGGCTTGCTTAATAATTTACATAAACGCCGACGATTATCACGCAATCCAATCGACTGGTCATGCATTGTCATAAAACCCCAAAAAATGACGTTATTCCTTAAATTTATATGCTCTTGATTTCGCAAGTTCACGGGCTACAAGATCTGTTTTAGCCTTCCGTCCCGCCCCGCACGTGATTTTTTTAACCACGCCTATCGATGAACCAGTAGATTCTTGTGGAAAAAAAAAACTATTTTACTATTTGTGGTTTTGTTTTGCACAAAGTAATTTTAAAGTGTAAATATATACATACGAATGTACGTACAGAAGTTCAGATAAAAAGTTTACAACCGCAACTTAACTCAACTCAACCTCAACTGTGGCAGATTGTATTTGTTGATCAAAGGTCAAAATTTCAATCCCTTCAACTGTATATGGCGAAGTATCTATATATAGATGAAAAATTTTCGAAAGTGGTAAAACAACATACAATGTTTCAAAATATATATATATAAAATTGAAAATGTTTATTTTTTTTACAGATTCAGAAAAGATCTGAAAAATATCAGTTCAAAGATTCATGAAAGAAACGAAAAGCTGGAGAGAGGGTATGAATATCTTCTACCGGAGGAAATCCCGAATTCCATCAGCATTTAATTCTGCAAGAAGTATTAAAAGTGTTATTTGTGAACACATCTGTTTTATTTTTTTAAAGAAAATATCTTTGTATTCGTATTAAAGAATTATTTTATGAACTTTTCTGTTTTGATAAAGACATATATGTAGTAAAATAAATAAATAATTGTTTGAAAAATGTAATAAATGTAGAAATTGTTAGAATACATATATTTACAGAAATGAGATTGGTTAACATGGCAGAAAGCCCATAGCTTTAGGTGTCATAGATTCGTATCATATTCATTGTGTGAATTAAGAAGTTAAAAATGCTAGAGTTGAAATTCTTTTTGGTCCTTGGTTTTCTAAGTATTTGATGTCGTAGACAAATAATTTTAGTCTGTTTGAGATTTTTGTAAATTGAGAGATGTTATTAAATATGTATGTACGAATTAATATTGTCATTTTGTAAATGTTAAATTTACTGGGTGGTAGTAATTAGTAAATGTTGTATATATTAAATTTGATAAAATAAAGTATATCAGGAAAGACATAACTAAAAATACATCACAACTTGTAATTTTTGTATTTATTACCAGTTGGTAAATTCAAAAATTACAATGTGACAATATGTGACAATATGCTGGATGAAATATCAAAGACAATTTTATTATTCAATTCAATTTTTCGCCTTCTAATTTGTCTTTTTTAATAGTTTTCATTCATCTTTGTATATAATTATATATTTAAATAAAGCTTACAGAGACAAAAGAGTGGCATTATTGATATCATACAGTGTATATTATTATTTAATTCCAGTACAACAAACTGAATCTTTTTCTTGGCTTCTTTATTAATGGTTTCTAACATGTAGATATACAGGATAGGTTGACTAGAGAAATTGAATATTTTAAAATTATTTAAAATATGATAAAAATTCTACTGCACATATACTAAGGAAGCTCTAAACCCTGCACACTGCATGTGCAGTACTATACCGTAATATCACAGTCAATATCAAAATACATATACAAAACATCATCTTTTTTGTAACAAAAATGTTTTATAAAAAATAATCTGTGTGTGTAAATAAATGCATTTTCAAAGCCACACTTTTGAACTAATTTTAACGAAAAGTCTCTGATGAGAATGTAGCTCTACTGGTTTGTACTGAAAAGATAATAAGATCCACTGGTTATGATCTGAGGTGAAAATCATGAAAGGGATATTGTTGCCAAAACACTTGACTTGACCTGAATCAAATTTGATACATTTGTAGTTGATGTTCTATGGAAGACCTGCTACCATCAGTCAGCAATCTGTCAATGAATTAAGAAATAATTGCCTCTATCCTTTTGTTGATTTCTGATAATTTGATGAGACTTCTAGAACTAGCATGGTTTTCAACTACATGTACTTGTTTGATCCAGAATCCATTCTTTGAGTTGGAAAAAATTTAAATAACTGATGTTAACCTTTTCTTAATTTAAAAGGTTACTCTTCACTTTCAGTTTGACAGACCAAACTCTGTCTGCATCACTTTTATCCAATAGGCATTTGGAAAGCCATTCCCTGCCTTTGCGTAAGGTTGATTGGTACCACTTAGTTAATCAAAATAATCTGCCTCCATATACATGTATATGCATAAAAAAATTTAAAGGCTTCCTTCACATTTAGTTCACAAAGAATTTTTTTTTAACTGAGCAATTTTTAACTTGCTATGATCATAATTGAGTATTGAAACATGTACCTCTAACATTTAAAAAAGGGGCAATTTTAATGCCGAACATTCCACTTATTTTTACCATATTTTAAAGTTATCAATTAATTAATAAAGCCAAAGAGCATTTAATTTCTTTGAAAATACAATGTAATAAAAAAATCAGATTTTATAGTAATGACAAGTCCAGCACCTCTAATGTAAGTCTGAGAGAAAAAAGTTTACGTTTCACGTTTAAAATCTGCTAATATTATTCGCAATGAAGAGTTCTTTGGTCACATTTGAGTTGTCTCTCTATTTTCCTATCGTCGTCACTGCTGGAGAGCCAGCGATTACAAGGGAACACACTCTCCTCATAAAGCGGCTTATCTCGACCACGTTTAATGTACTCCTTTGCCTCCTTCTTCTGGATATATCTCCGAACTCGCACCTGAGAATGTCGTAAAACAATGAATATATGAGAAACTGTGTACAACAGTGTTTTAAAAGTATTAATAAAATATAATTTAATTTCGTTATAGCTAACCGACTTAATTTCATTTTATTTATGATCTTGATACTGGACCAATATGACCTAATATGTTGAACAGACAAATGGAAAACAGGTGAAATGAAAGGACATAATAACTAGTGGTTAGTCTCAATAAACATAAAAGGCTCACGGGGCCTTAAAAATGATCTAATTGCTTTACATGTAATTTGCTTTACATGTAATTTGGCAATTTTTGGAGGCATTCACTGAAATCAATTTAAAAACGATCAATCATAATGTACACTTTACCTCATCTAGAAACCAGCCAGCCCCAGGTCCAGAGCCGTCGTGGCCAATTGTCACCAATGCTAAGGGTCCCACATCTACTGTCTCAAGCTGTAGGGTAAAAATGGTAGATTAAGGCATGTATATCAATTATAGATATATATGACTACTCTACTGCATTTGGTTTTGCATATACATTTATATTTATAAATTCTATTGTAGATTCTTCATGATATTCAAATATTGTTAAAAAAATACTATTACAGTTTTCTTGGAACAAAAGTGGAAATATAATTTGTTGTTACCAAAAGCCTTGAAATGTAAAAAAAATGAGAAAAAATGTAAGGACATAATAAAAATGTACCCAAAAGACAATTTACCATTGATTTTAAATATCAATTAAATACCATATCATTTTGGGAATACTGTAAGAGAATTTGAAATACAGAGTATCTTAATTTTGGAGAGAAATTCCAATCAAAAAATTGCAATATAGAAGATATCATTGAAATGGTAATCATCTTAAAGGAACGGGGTACTGGAAAGGATTTTAGGTTGGAAGGGACTTGAAAAGAAGAACATTTCTTTTTTTAAGTTTAATTAAAGCACTCAATGGTAATGAATATGCAATGGGGTTATGACCTTAGTCCAACATGGATTCCATAGGTTAGATATAATTTTGAACCAGATTGGACTATTGGTGGAGACTCTGAGTTGACAATATATTTTTTTCTTAGAGATACTTTTGACCTTAATATTTGATCTCAAAACTAGGTTCATTACCATAAACGTATTACTTACAGGCTATCCATGGGTGAAGTTTGAGCCAGATTGGGCCATTTAGGGAGAAAATACTGAGTATATCAGTGAATATCAAGAATTTAAGCAGAGATCTGGTATAACCTTGAAGTGAATTTTTTAACCTAGAAAATTACTTCAATGTCACTGCAAACCCTTAACCCATGAGCATTGAAAGGGTGCAAGGAGAGAGCTAGAAACTATGTTCCAGATAAAAAATTATTTAGCACAAAAAGTGACTTTCCCTAAAAAACCAAGAATGTATTTTTAGAATAAACATATATTATTTTTCAGAAATAGAAATGCATTTGAAATTACTGCATTTAATTATGGCTAGTGTGAAAGGTTTAACAATTAAAATATGACATGATGTACTTTGGGTAAGGAAAAGTGCACTGTTAAGGGCTGAACAATAAAATCATGCACACTATTCTTCAACAATTCTTTGGGTAAAAGAAAGGGTACAATCACCACATAGACCTACAGTTATAATGTCAGCATCTACTCCAAAACTCTGAAAGAAATTGGTCATTAACAAAATGTAGCAGGCAAGGAAAGACAGTCAGTTTCAAGTTTGTTTCAAGTTCAATGCTATTGTCAGCTTGAACTTTTGGCTTGAAATTTCCTTGACTGAATTTAAAACTGCATTTTTCCAGTCAAAGTCTTACTACAATCATGAAAACTTTGTAACTTTAATAATATTTTTTCCCCTTTAAATCCTAGAAATTCTTTCTATTATAGAGACAGAACATACTTCAATCCTTTTTACTCACTTTGAAAACATCTGTTTGTCCTTTTTCAAAATTATTTTTTTCATCATCCAGTGGTAGTCTAGGTGTTTCTAAGCCCTTCTTTCCATGTAGCTGTATGTAAACATTGGCATCAGTCCCAGCAAAAGATTTTGTTCCTGTTTTGACTATGATCTGGTATACTGTGTTAAGGGCTTCTATAATCACAACAAATATACACTGTAGCAGGAAATAAATACATGGAGAATTTTCTTCTGTTTTAAAGAGAGTTTATTGTTATTTTTCTCAAAACTTTTTTAAAGTTAAGATTCCTTGCATATATTCAATTACGGCATACTTTTTTCATTGAAATTATGTTTTAAAAATATGTCATTCATGCAGTACAGTGATCTTAATATTATAATAAAATGAGATTAAAAAATTGAAAAAAAAAGTAATGATGAAGCTATTTTTAATCTTTGATAAGAAGACACACCATGACTGGCCTCTCCCTTGTAGTGAAATTGCTTCTTCATACACTTGAGCTGCCTCTCAATCGTCCCATCATCTTCTTTTTTATCTAGCCATTTATTACAAGGGAAGTAGAACTCTTCATAATCAGGAGTTCTAAATGGTGCCTCTTCTTCTTCCTCCTCACTCTCTGTATCAGACAGCTCACGCCTCTTCTTCCTCTGCCTCTGTTTTGTCTTGGCTTTTTCTCTCAGCTTTTTTTTCTCTTTTTCTACATGAGTTTTGATTTCTTTCTTCGTCAAATGTTTTCTTATTATTACCTAAAATAGATATTCTACATTAAATACATTATTGTATTTATATGCATGCATTATAAATAGTCAGCTCAGAAGAGAACAAATCCACATTTGAAACTCTTTTTCCATGAATTTATTTCTTCCATTGTTATTACCCTTTCTAAGTTCATTCCCAACAAGTGAATAAAAAATTGATTTCATTAATGCATTACCAAATTGAATGTCACCTTTATTGAAGATTTGGGGCACATAGTTTTTTGTCCTGTTCATCCATCTGTCTGTTTTTGTTAGCAAAAACTTAAAACTTGCCCATAACTTCTGATTGATTGAAGATGTATGGCTTTCATATTTCACAAGTGCCTTCCTTGTGACGAGACCTTTCTTTAGAGACCACCTAATTTGACCTCTTGACCTCGGAGTTTGATCCACTTTTGCAACAATTTACCATACCTTAACCTAGAAGATGGTGCTAGTGTTTTCATACTTAAGTTTATGTGTTTATTAATTCTGACAAGCCTTTCCATGGATACAAATATTTTTTTCCTTTTCCATTTGACCTTGATTAATTGAATTTTAACTCAATTTGCCATAACTTTTGAACAGTAAATGCTAAGGCATTAATATTTTACATGTGTGTTTCTAACAAGTCATTCCTCTGTATATCTTTAATTTGACCTTTTGAAATTGATCCAACTTTGAATTTGACTTAAATTTTATAAAAAATCTTTAACCTTGGCTATAATGTTTGAATGTGAGGGCTTGGGCTTTCATATTTCACTGGTATATTCATTGAGACAATTAACTGCTTTCTTTTGGGTAACAAGATTTTTCATCTCTTGACCTTGGAGTCTGAATTGCATTTGAGAAACAATACTTCAATTTCACCAAAAGCTACCATATAGGGCATCAGTGTTTCACAAACACATCTTGC